CACTAGCAATGCTTTTTGCCCCAGAACTAGTTAGATTAATGACTTGATCATCCTATTATACATATTTGGTTGTCGTATGTATTTCCTTTCATCTCGGTTAAATTTCCATTAAACCTAGGGTAAGGAAATGTATCAACCCTTGGTAAGCTTTATTCGAAATAGGGAATCTTCAATTTACTGACTATAAAGGCAGATCATCTCATGATCTCTTTTACTATGCATAGATTCCCGAGTCCCAGTAAATGTCATCCCGATTTCTCCGGTTTACAGATAACCTAATCTCTCACAGAGATTTGACGAATTCCTTCAGCTTATCACCCTAGCCCTGTGCTCTTTCTAGACAAGCCCAACAGTGTACCTATGAGTCTCCATGTTTCAGGAAGACGAGGTATACAATCAAAACATGCCTTCTAGAACACTGTCTAGGTAATAACTTATGGTCTAAGGAAAGACATACCCAAATATAAAGAGACTACTCTAATGATACTATCTGTGAGATTTCCTCATAGAGTCTCTTTGTGGGTCTGTTCAGTGCGAGCTATACCCTTATAGGTCCACCCACGACTTTAGCTAAGACATCTCCATATCTGTAGCACATGAGGTCTTTACCTTGTATCCAAATACAAGTAGATAAGTCGTGCTAGTCTTACCTGAGATCATTGATCCCCATTCTCAGTGTCTCTAGACTAGGAACATAAAATTAGGAATAAACGTGCAGTATCCTTGAATCCTCATGATTGCGATCTCATCACAGATACTCAAGAGATACCTATTCTATTCCAAGGGGTTTATCCAGTTACTCATATAAAATATTAACAATAATATTGAGACAAAATATGAAACAGGATAAAGAGTGCTTTTATTTATTTGCGACAATATAAAAGGTCCACAGATGTCCTAATCTAATCAAAAGATTGTCTCTAGGACATCCATATACTAACACCATGTTCATTCTGACTCAGCTTCAGGCCCCTTGGTTTACAGGATAAGCTAAACAATAGAAAACATCAGTCAACGTAGCTAACCTCTACCTACTGGTTATATATGAGTGTACCATATGAATCCTGCCTAATCATGCTACCAATATGGGGGCTTATGTTCTGGCCAGCCCAATTGATTGGCCCAATATTACAGGCCTAATATCCAAAGGCCTATATAGCCTTTGCTATACCAACCTAACAGCGTCAATGCTTCCCTGATGGAACTATCATCTCAGTGCTAAAACATCAAACATCCCAACATAAGACAACCCAAATGTCTTACGTTGAAATATCCCCCCTCATACATGAAAAGAGCCAACCCTACCAATACGGGGAACTACTATTGTTCTTCTTAAACCTGTTGACTTGGCTCTTTCCTCATACATGAAAAGAGCCAACCCTACCAATAAATAATCCCTCCTTTTTCACTGAAAACACATTATTCACCATTTTCATGAGTTGTTACTTTGTTGACATAGAGAGCCATAATAGTCATTCAATACCTTCCCTCGTTATTATACACAGTGTCTGGGACATCTTTGCATAGCCTTGTTCTATATTATTACTATCAAAGACACCCCTATAGTGATACACTTCACCTCGAGGAATAAATTTTTGGTGCTACTGTAGCACCAAAGATTCAGTACATCTCACCAATAGAAATATTACATGTCAGTTAAAGTTATCTTTTCTTTGCCAAATTTTTTCTCTCTCTTATGATATGTAATGCTCCTATTGGTGGGATGCACTACATCTTGGTGCCACAGTAGCACCAAAGATTTATTCCACCTCGAGGGGTTACATACGCGGTTCTTATATTCACTAACAATTCATAATGTAATCACAATATTCAACATTAAGAAATGAGACAGATGACATTTTTTATTGCTACCATTAGCTCTCTGTCATTTTCCTATTATAAACTTTTGAAGATTACTTGCAAATTGCATTATTATGTAACGTAATCATGATATTCAACTCGAAGAAAGGAGACAAATGACATTTTTTATTGATACCATTAGCCGGCTATCAGTTTTGCATTATCAATAGTTCAAAATTATGAGCTCATTTCCTGTGGTCATGGGAGTACCGAGTTTTGCCCCCAAAAAAAATGGTATATGGATAGAAATAAATATAAGGTAGTGTAAAAGGAGTACCAAGTACTCTGTGATTATGGGAGCACCGAAAATATTTTTCAAAATTATTTGCAATTTGCATTATATCTAGGAAAAAATGTATGTCATTTTAAAGGACTTAAAGTTGTGTCATTTTAAGAGTGAGGAAGAGATAGATAAAAGAAGAGAGAGAGTTGACAAAAAAATAAAATTGTGGGTCTCACCTCTTTATAAAAGTGAAATGATATAAGTTGTATCATTTAAAAGGATAAATATTTTTTCCTTATATCTAATGTATTTACAATATTTAACTCTTAAAAGGAGACGTGGCATTTATTGCTGTCATTAGCATGGCTGCTTTTTTATTTTTAATTATATTTTGTATTTTATTTTCTAGTACAATTATATTTAATAATTTCTAGAAAGTTGCACATGGATATTCGCAATATCTACGACGTCTTACAACTTAACTTTCTCATTTTAAGTGTTTTAAAACTCGGACCGGTTATCGACTCGGTCGAGGTAGTGGGTCATTGGGTCAGTGGTTCAACTGGGTTCAACCGGATTTCAAAATAATATATAATAAATAATAGATATATTACTCATATTAACAAGTGATGCTAATTTTGTCATTTCCTCAAACAGGTCATGTACAAAAAATTTAAATACTTTAAATGACATTAATTTTAAATTAAACAAATTACCAAGTAAATCAATTGTTTACCAACAGAAAATTACACATTTGAAATTGAAAGGTTTCCAGTACCACAATGTTGAAGTACCCGTTGGAGTTTAGCATGTCTTTGATTTTGAAGTACCCATTGGATTCTACACGCATGGCACTGTAACGGTAAATTGAGAAAGCAAAAAAATGGGGTTTAATGTTTTAACGTTTGACTTCAGAAGCTTAATGGGGTTTGGTGGTTCCTCCTCCACCTCAGGCTTTTGTTTGAAGCATAGACTTCCTCCATTAAATAGAATAGCAATAGGTAACACTACCTGTGTTTCCACTCGTGACTTGAGTACAAAGAGAAAATATTTCATACAAAGCTTTTCAAACACACTACTTTCCATCTCTTTAAGAACATGCATAGCCTCCTTGGGGCGTCTTGTTAAACATTTTGATGGTGTCCCTATACCTGCCGTTACTGGCATAAGCAGTTATCAAACAAGTGTAAGCATAGACATCAATCTCAAACCCATCATTTTCAAGACTGAGGAGCAAGGAGGTTGCAGAGGAGACTTGACCGCAGATGATGCTGCAAGTGGGAAGGTTCCACATTGACCAGTACAAGAAAGAAAACATAGTTTATAAACTAAACTCAGTTCACAAAGTGATACCAACTTGTGTTACAGCGTGTGGGTAACTAACGACCCAGCGGAACTCTGATTTTTTCAAAACCGGCCCGTTTATAACGGTTATATTAACGAAAATTAACAGTTGAGATTTGAGATTTGATTGTAAAACTTTGTAAGTAAAAAAATTTGTAAATAAAATATTTCTTATTATAAAAATACCTTTTCTTTTGGAAAAAAAAACCTTTTTGTAATTAACCCAAATACATCAATGTCAAGTGGTTGAGCCATCTGCTTCAAATGAAATTATTATGCAGCTCATTCGCACCACTTTTCCATTTTTTGTCTTTTATTTCTTTTTTACTTTCTAAAGTATAAAACAAAAACTATTTCCTTTTATATGTTAAATTAAAATATATTTCGAAAGTAACTAAAGCTACAATTATTTTTTTTTTAAATATAAAAATATTTTATTATTTGTTATTTTAATTTGTTTTTTTAACTTCTTCTGTAGAGAGGTAAATGGGCTAGGCCGGCCTATAGGGGCTTACGACCTAGCCTATATTAGGTCAGGCTTAACCTGTTATAAATAGTAAAATAGAACAGACCTAGGCTTTTAAAAAAACAAATTTAGCAAACAAGTCATAGGCTTTTTTTGTACATGTTGGACCTATAACCCAAATACATCAATGTCAAGTGGTTGAGCCATCTGCTTCAAATGAAATTATTATGCAGCTCATTCGCACCACTTTTCCTTTTTTTTTGTCTTTTATTTCTTTTTTACTTTCTAAAGTATAAAACAAAAACTATTTCCTTTTATATGTTAAATTAAAATATATTTCGAAAGTAACTAAAGCTACAATTATTTTTTTTTAAATGTAAAAATATTTTATTATTTGTTATTTTAATTTTTTTTTTTAACTTCTTATGTAGGGAGGTAAATGGGCTAGGCCGGCCTATAGGGGCTTACGACCTAGCCTATATTAGGTCAGGCTTAACATGTTATAAATAGTAAAATAGAACAGACTTACGCTTTTAAAAAAACAAATTTAGCAAACAGGTCATAGGCTTTTTTTGTACATGTTGGGCCTATAAGCCTAGAGGTCGGCCTATATCATATTATTTAGTTAAAATATAATAAATAAAACTATTATTTTAATAATTTTGAATAATAAAATAATATTATTTTAATTATTCTTTTAATTGTTTAATGTTTAATAGGCTTAAACAGGCTAACAGGTCTAGGTTAAAGCTTTTATTTTTTAAATACAAGTCAGACCAAACTTGTAATTTGGGACCTATACGGGCTAATATGTCAGATCATACCCAATATTTTTTACACAGGCCTAACCTATTTAAACCAAAGCCTAGCCTATTTACAACCTTATTCTTATGCATATCTCTTTACTAATATTATTTTTTTACGTTTGATTTATATTTTTTAGATTTCTCTATGATTATGTATATTTATTTTTCATAATTTAAACATGTTTTTTATCTTACTTTTTCTCTCTATCAATTTATATTTTTCATATTTTGTATGAATTTTAAATTAATCTTTCGGACTCTATAAAGGTATTAGAGGACCAAAAGACTCAATTATCAAAATATAAAAGTAACTTGCTAGTTGTTTATGTGGAGAATTGAAGTGCTGCAATGGCTGCTAGTCAGGAAGAGGTAAAGCTTTTTGGAGTTGTGGGAAGCCCATTTGTGTGCAGGGCGCAAATTGCTCTTCAGTTGAAGGGAGTTGAATACAAATTTGTGGAAGAAAAGTTGAACAACATGAGTGATCTTCTCCTCAAATACAACCCAGTTTACAAGAAGGTTCCTGTGTTTGTTCATAATGACAAGCCCATATCAGAGTCCCTTGTGATTGTTGAGTACATCGATGAGACATGGAAACACAACTCCATCTTGCCTACTGAACCTTACCAAAGAGCCTTGGCTCGTTTTTGGTCCAAGTTCATAGATGACAAGGTAACTACAATTTTATTTTCCTGCTTTATACTGACTCCTCCCATTATATGACACCTAAATGTGAAATCACTTAATATGATTGATCGAATAATTTAAGAACTACCTTATATTATTGTTATGATTTGTAAATATTATGGAATCTTAAAGGATTTTGGTAGACTTTTTAATTGAAGAAAAAAATGATTGTTGGATTCTAACCACAAATAATATGGAAAGTACCATAACCAAAGTTACCGCATAACTAAGGGTTTTTTGTTTCTCATATTGTAAGAGATAAAATTATTTCTTATATACACATAGAAATATATAAGACCCATGCGGGTTCAAGAGAAGAGAAAAGAAGAGAAAATAAAAAATAAAATGAGCTCATACAGTTTTGTGTTTATATAAGATAAAATTATTCCATATAACATGACAGAAATTTAATAAGTACCAAAAAAGTAAAGCTTAGAAGAAATTCCTTTCAACAAATTTTTTTATTTCTTTTAACTCAATCTAATTTTTGTTTGTCCTAATTATTTTCTATCATATACAAGTACTTTATTTTGTGAAATCAGTGCGTGGCAGCTGCATGGAAAGCTGCTTTTACCGTAGATGAGAAAGAGCGCGAGAAAGCTGTTGAAGAATTATTTGAGGCTCTAAAGTTTCTTGAGAATGAGCTCAAGAACAAGTTCTTTGGAGGAAATGAGTTTGGCCTTGTGGATATTGCTGCTGTTTTCATCCCTATAGTTCAAGAAGTAGCAGGGTTGCAATTGTTCACCGCTGAGAAATTTCCCAAGCTCTACAAATGGAGCCAAGATTTTCATAGCCATCCAGTTGTCAAAGAAAATATGCCTCCTAAAGACCAACTTTTTGCGTATTTCAAAGATCGCTCCGAAAGCCTTGCTGCTTCAAAATAGTCTAATATAAAATGAGATTCAGAATTTCAAGGGAAAATTATATGAAGTACTTCTGTGTGAATTTCATTTCAAAATGGAATATGTAACATGGACATCGTTGAACAGTTAGACTATCCATTATTGCTTATAAATTAAGCTTGCTAAACAACAGTACTCTAGTTAACACCGTATTTTGTCCGCATCTCTTATGTATTTAAAAATCCTTAAAAAAATATATAGTAATAATAAGATGTTTCCTTATTTCTGGCTTGTACAATTATTTAGTACTAATGTTAATTATGGCTTAGCTCAATGTAAGAAGATTACCAGTATATTTGGTTAGTTTCAATAGGTAGTTCCCAAGGAAAATTATTATTATTTTTTATACAATAAATTGAAAAATCAAAACAGCAAAATACAAAATAAAGAAAATAAAAACCAACAAAAGCATAAAAACAAAAAAGAAATAAAACTATCCCATTCCTTTTCTAGGATGACAAACGCCAATAGCATCTGTCTGAAGCAACAATCTTAATGGGGTAAGAAGAACCACAAAGATAGACTCATCTGGCAAAGAAGAATTCAGAATAGGGAGATTAACTAAACAATCAGCACAACTGTTGGCTTCTATAAAAGCATGTGTAACCAAGACCTGCCAATCATGATTCAAAAGTGCCCGTAAACGAGTCAACAAACGATACTCACGAGCTACACCACCATGATTAGTGAGCAAAGCGACCACCGAAGTAGAATCGCTTTCAAGGATTAGACGACACCAACCTTTGTGCCACGCAATATGAAAACCATATCAAACTCCTCGTAACTCAGCTGCAAATGCATTACAAATACCAATACAAGCAGAATGTCCAAGAACTCAATTCCCTTGGTAATTACGAATTAAACAAACACAAGCAACAACATCAGGAACTTCCTTAGCAGCACGTACCATCAGTTTTAAGTTTAACAAACCCAAATGAAGGAAAGTCCCAACGAACCAAAGCCTCCACTGGATGAGAAATAGAAGAGGAAAAAGACCCCAATACGTCAGCAAGAGTACGTTTAATGACATCAGCAGAATGAGGCAGCGAAGGAGCTATCAAATGAGAATGAGCAACCTCATTTCTCCAACACCAAATCTGAAAATAAAAACAGGAAAAATAGAAGACCAATTATGGATATCTAAGTTTTTTGTAAACCAAAAATCATGCAACCAAGAATCAAGATTTCCCATGAAGAATTCATCCTGGTGCATCAGAGGAATAAATTTGCACCATAAATCACGAACAACTGCACAGTCCCGAAAAACATGAATAATAGACTCATCTTCACTTTTACAAATCAGACAGAGACTCTCCCAATAGACCACAAGGCAATTCATAATTTAGTAGGTAATCTCCCATGAGCTAAGCAAAATTATCATACGATGGGGACCAGGCCACTTCCAAATCTTACGCCAGCACCAAGCCTCCCAACCATCATTCCAACCATTATGTGTCAACTCACTAAGCAAAGTCTATATCCCCTTGACCAAAATTGAGTCATCTGAACCCAAGGACCACAACTCTCTGTCTGGGGGATCATTAATTGAAGGGGGAAATACACTACGGATATGATGAATAACATTAATAGGGAGCCAAGTTGTAAGCAACTCACACTGTCACCTGCCAGAATATGAAACATAATCAGTAAGACATTTCGATTTTCCAGAAAGAGGAAGATTCAAAGCTAAATCTTCAAGTTTCACGTCATGAAATAACCAATTGTCATTCCAAAATGAAATTGTATTACCATCTCCAACTTGTCAATATTCATGAAATTGAACCTTGGCCCAAACATGACATAAATGAGACCATAACCGAGAACAACCAGCAGAAGCAGTAAAAGAAATAGAACTACTACTACCATATAAAGCATGCAAGATTCTTCCTCACAATGAATCCTCCTCACAGCAGAGCCTCCATAACATTTTACCCAAGAACACTTCATTCATTACCATCCTTATATTCATTAATATCCCATCTTAAAATGTGAGCAATTTTTTGATTATGCATGTCTCCTTAGATAAAATTCCAAATAAGTTTCTCAATCTCCTTACAAACTCCAACAGGTAACATGTAACATCCCAAAGGCTGCCAAGGGCTGGGAGTGATCGCCAGTGCAAGAAGAGGTGCGGACAATAAGCGGCTCATGTCAAATCTTGCACCCAGAATGAATCTAATCAACACCCAGAAGAGAGGGATTCTAGAGACTGTGCTGGTATGAGATGGTACAGTTGGGGATAACTTATAAGAATTAATTAGTACTACCTATACTAACAAGATACATCTACTTTTCAGTAGCCTGGAACAGAAGAACTTCTTAGTTAAGCGTGCTTGACTTGGAGCAATTCTGGGATGAGTGACCTCCTGGGAAGTCCCATGTTAGTTTGTGGGGACAATCATCGATCCTTGTAAGTTGTCGGGCGTTACATTACATACCACGTTGCATGTGAAAATAAGGAATCGAAGAAAAAATAGATTTAACCAAATTTATATGCTCAGCTTGAGAAAGAGAAAGTCGTTGCCAACTACCTAACCGGAGGATAATTTTTAAAAGATATGAATATAATGTTGCTTAGTAGCACAACCGTGAATCATCCAACCTCCGAGATATCTCCCAATATTTTTTGTTCTCTTAAAACCACATCTAACTGACAAAAGATCAGCAAGTTGCTCCGGAGTATTTTCAGAGAAATAAATAGAGGTTTTAGATACACTAAGTTTTAGGCCAGAAATTTCTTCAAACAAAGAAATACATTTAAGCACTACCTCTAATTGCTCTATAAAGGCTTCCGCAAAAAGGAGCAGATCATCTGCAAATAAGAAATGGGAGACACCAGGTCCATTGTTACCCGCAACAATAGGCTTCAACAACTACTCCTTAACTATTGTTAAATTAATATGTGTAAGCTTCTCCATTGCAAGCACAAAAAGATATGGAGACAAAAGATCACCTTGTGAAGGCCCCTAATAGGGATGAAATTACGAGTAAGCCCATCATTCCCCAAGATATTAATAAAAGAAGAGGTAACAACCTCCATGATAATAGTATGCAACTCCTCCGGTATCTTCATCTCTTCGAACACACTCTTAAAAAAATCGCAACTCAGATGGTCATATGTTTTTCATAAAACAACTTTAATTGTGAAAAAGCAGCGTCTTGACTTCATTTTATGCATCCTATGAATTAATTCCAGGGCATAATAATATTATCATGAATATGTCTCTCAGGCACAAAACTAGCTTCGAACGGAGAAATTAATCGCTTCATAATCAATTGGAGCTGAGAGATAATTATTTTGCCTATATTTTTTTACACAACCGAGCATAAAGAAATAGGCATGAATTGACTGATCAGAGAAGGAACATTCACTTTGGAAATAAGAACTAGTAGCGTAGAGTTGATAAATTTAAAATGCTCCGGATTCCTCCAAACATCAAAGATGCAATTAAAAAGCTGGTCTTTAATAAGCAGCCAATTTTTTTGGAAGAAAATAGCAAAAAAGCCATCCCTTCCAATAGCCTTATACGCACTCATCCTAAAAAGATTATTCACCCTAATATCCTCCAAATTAGTAGGACATCAGCCGCAGGGATACACAGCCATAGATTATTCGAAGACAACCAACGTCTATTCTCATATTCCTCCATAGATAAATTATAGGAAAAGGAACAAACATGATCCCTCAATAAAGAAACATCATTAATCCACTCCCCAACTTCATTTTTAAACTTCATAACCTTGTTACGGCATCTTCTGCTCACTGTTTGCATATGATAAAATTTAGTGTTATAATCACCTTCGGTAATCTATTTACGCCTGGATATTTGGAACCATAAACGCTCCTCTTGTTTAAGAGTCAAATTAAGCAGCCCTTGAAACTTAAGCTCCAAAGCCTCCAAATCACTAGAATCACAAGAAAGGCGTTGCTGCTGAACAAGCGTTATCTCAGATAACAGCGATTCCTTTCTCTCCTGAATGAAACCATAGACCTCCTTATTCAGCTTACGCAAATGAGGCACAAAATTATTTAACATAACAGACAAATCTGTATTTCTCAACCAACGAGACCTCCTTATTCAGCTTACTCCAAATTCGCACAAGAACAATCCAATTTCTTATGGCAAATTTTAATTCGCTAATATTATTCATTGTCCGTTATATTTTGCTATCTTAATTTTAGAATTTAATTCTGAATTCATTATTGATAATTCTTAAAAATTAGTGTAATTCTATTAGCATTATTTTTATTTAAAAATTAGAAGTTATTTTTAAATTTTATTTTACTTTCCTCATATGATATTTACTTGAATATATTTATTTTATCATAACCAAAAGTTCATTAAAAAGATCCAAAATGTCGGATGCTCTGTAAACAAGTACTGATGACAAGGTCTCATAGCCGGCTCGAAGAGTCGAAGCTCGTGGGGATATCGGAGGGAGCCAACTCGTCTCAAAGAGAAAATTAGAGTTGGGTAACTCCAAAAAAAAAAAAAAAAGGTAGTGATGACAAGGACCATTCAGCTAATCACGAAGAAAATTTCCGGTGCAATAAATGTAGATATATCCAAGCTAAAAGAGGGAAGTTTTTTGGATTTAAATTTTTTTATTTATAAATTACATTATCTCATACTGGTAATATATTTTTGAGTAGAGTATTAGCGGTGAGATATAATATATTTTGTAAGTTTGTAAAAAAAAATTGTAAATAAATCTTTTTCTTAAATAAAATTATAAAAAAATATAAGGATATCTTATTACAAAATATCAAGTAAATGGTAAACGGTAGTGTTGATTTCTCTGTAACAAGCTTTTTGTGAAAGTGCTTTTTACTTTGCCTTTTATAAGAGTTATGTTGTAGGAAAAGTAATTGTGTAATGTTATAGAGATTTGTTTTGCGTGCCATAATTTTTTTTTCCTTTAAAATGTGTGGACCCCA